AAATAAAACCAAAGTTTTTTTTTTTTAGATAATGTAATCTTGTTAAAATTGATTTCATAAAATTGGTATCGAAAAAAGTATCATTCAGGAACCGGTATCGAAGTCAAGGTATCGGTATCGAAAAATTTTGAATGATACCCAGCCCTAGTGCCGAACGACAGTCGCATCACGGATCAGATTTCATTTCTCCAGTGAGGAGAGTGAGTCGAGCTGACTGACAAGAAGAGTTTTCTTATTTATTTGGTTATATATAATGTTTACTTATTTTCAGTTTTGTATACCTATTAAACTTTATGTAAGTTATTTGTTATTTTATATTAGGCATAGCTAGTGTTGCTTTCGTCAACGAAAATTATAACTAAATATCATCGTCAACGAACCTTTATCACGTGACAAAAACGAGACGAGACGCAACGTAAATGCTGGTCATGTGACAATGACTATAATTAAATGTATAATGCAATATTGTTGACGAATAAAAACGAGACTAAATGTGTGTATTTTGTTGTTGCATTCAAGCAATTGATGCCGAACTGCCGCTCACTCAAAAGTGAAAGTAAAATGCGCACAGCGCTTTCAAGCTATTTAAAAGCGAAGGAAAGCAAGGAAAAGGGAAAATTCAAACGAACAATTGCTTTACTCCGAATTGCCGCTATTTTAAAGTGAAAGTAAAATGGGCACACTGCTTTTACAAGCTATTGGAAAATTTCCTCACCGTCACAACCCTAGTAGCTGCAGGATTTTTTAAATCAAATTTAAGACTTTTTAAGGACCTGCAGAAACCCTGATGGGAACAAGCTAATGCATCCTAACAAGTTTATAATTTACTTTGCACTGAACACAACAAGACAAGATTCATCGAGTACTATCTCAGCCTCACATACCACACATCCAAATTTTGCTTTATGCAAAAGTGAGGTCAATCACATGACATCATCTCTTTAGACTTTCAATTAATCATTTATAAAACAGACAGTTCCAAATTTACATTCTGACTGTCCAAATTCAATTCTGTATCAATGTGTTAAGTTGATCCAGTTGCTCTAGTTGAACATAGTGCTAGCAGTGGCAGGGTTCAATTCCCAGAAAATTCCTACACTGACAAAACTTAATGGATTCAACATTTGGATAAAAGCATCTGGCAAATGTTTAAAATGTAAGGGGTGTCTTGGTATCCATAGACAGTCCACACTAGGGTTGGGCTATGTCTACCAAATTGGCATCGGACGATGTCTACAGTGAAACATCGTGATGGATGATGACATCGGGGGGCAGGGTTAGGGGGTGTGCCTGAAGCGTGAATCCGTATGCAGAAAGGCACGGAAAACAAATAACGTGTTCTACGAAGCCACTAAAGGGACATGGTTAGCCGCATGCTAATGGTAAACTGTTACGTTACAGTACATGAAAGTTCACTTACCACATACACAGAGTAAGGAGAGCGGCCACCGCCCCCTGCCATCAGCTCCCGCGTCTCACACACACGAGCGCGACTTTAGCACTAGATTTAGCAACTTTCAGACCCTTTTAGCAGCTTTTTTCCATAGAATATTCATACTGACAAACCTAGCGACTTTTTTGGATAAACTTTTCGGATAAAGGTTTTAATAAGGCCTGACATGACCTCAGATTGCATCTAGGGTTGTGGTTCTCAACCAAGGGCCAGGGGCCACTAGAGGGCCTCAGTAAACTTTCAAGAGTGGTTACTTAAACATTTCAATAAATTATTATTAATATATTAAAATAATGAAACTCTAATCTAAATTAAATGTCAAAGATCTAAAGTCAATTATCTAAATTAAAATATTTTTTCCTACTCAATAAGTACAGCTTTTATTGAAGAACAGAGTGCTTGAAACTTATGAAATCATGACGTTTGAATAAATTGTTCTTAATTTAATGTATAAACTCTCTCAGTTTGTGTTACTAAAAAAGTTTGAAAACAAGCAGAGTTTTAATAATTGCAGCAGAAATCATGGAAATTTATAAGAGGCTTCAAAATATTGTGCTGGAGAGTGGGATGACTGAATCAAAACCATTGGTCTCGGGTATGAGATTAAATAAGTTCAATGATATAAAACAACACAACTTAATAAAACCCAGAATTTCTCAATTCTGAACAAAAATTGACATCTTTGTAAAAAGAATCGCTACATAGAAGGCAAAACTGTAAATTTCTTGGCAGCTGACGTGTTAATAACCCAAGGGGACTCCTTAAGTATGGACTTGTCTAGTCATATCTTAAATATCTACTGTATAAAATGCCTTCAATCTGAGCGAACTTTAAGCATTAATTACAGAATCCAGATCCTCTCTTCATACGTCAGAATAATTCTGCCACTGAGCTTGAATCAAAGAGCTGAGCAGCTGCCAAACTATCACCAATCCAAATATTATAGCAATAATTATCTGAGGTGTCACACAGCACTAGGATCCTCTTATTGAAAGCTACTCTCAAGCACCATGTGCTGTTTGCAGAGAAACTAGACGCATATGTAAGCAGTCTTCATTCACAGGCAGGTGACAGCCGCCGGCTTGAAATCTAGAGAGCTGCCTACCCAGACAGCATATTTGGTAAACACAGGCACATATGATGCACAGATATGCTGTCTAGGTAAGCAGCTAACTAAGATTTGAAAAAGACATTAAGCAAGCACTTAACAAATGTCTAAACAAATTATACCTTTAATAACCCGCATTGAGTTACTAAAAATTCGGTTCAATTCAGATGTATATAAAATAGTATGTCCTAGGATTAGTTTTGGACATTAACTTAAGCATTCTTTGCAGTATCATTAATAATATGGTACATTAATATCAACAAATTATGGTATTATTCCCATCCAATATATCACTGCACTATATAAACAGGACTTTTAATAAAGGTCAAAAGAAAGGATGAAACGCAATAAGCATGACAAGATTCCCAAAACGACCCACTACAAAACGTACTGTGGAAATACCATGGTAAAATTCCAGTGTAGAGTGTCCAAAAACATAGTTTTACCATGGTACTATGTCCAAAAGATTATAGTAAAACAGCGGTAATGACTTAATGACAAACTATGACAGACTCAATCTGATATTTCAACGCAATGTCAGTGGTACGTAATTAATTTCTTAAGTATTACTGTATTACTGAGGTTCTGCCGACTTTTAACTACACTTAAGTGCACCCAAAGTGACTTTTAACAGGAAAAATGTCTCTGAAGCCACATGATCAAGCCAGTACTTAAATTATGAATCTCTTCCTTGTATCCAAACATACTGGTTTGACTCAATACTGAATATCTTCTTCACAAAGGGAGCTAAAAATATAAACGCGTTTCCAGAAATAATTGAGTTAGATTGGTAAGCAATCACAGCTATGGCTTCACTGACACCAGCTAATGCTAAATCCAGACGTGCAAGTCATTCACTTGTGCTGGCCTGAAACATGACATGACTCAAGACGGCTCACACACACAAGCTAACAAGAGCTCCAGAGCGGTCAGACGGAGCTCCACAACCGCTAAAGCGGCTGAGCCCAGGCCCTCGGTCCTCATTCTTGCAGAGCAGGGTAACTTAAAGCAGAAAGCTTTAAAAATAAGTGTCTTAAATCAGGCCCAACCGAAGCCCTGACCTCTCCACGGGCTACCTGCGGGAACACACTCACCCTCAGTCCCGCGGCCGAGCGAGCCGCAGCAGGCCGGGCCTAGCACACAGGCCCAGCTCAATATCACACCAAGCGGCTCCCAGAAAACGCCCTGTGCGCTACCGAGGCTGTGTAAGCACATAAAAGGTTGCAAAATTCACGGCGGCCGCCATGATGAGTCTTTCCCAGTGCATTTGAATTGAAAACATGGCAACCCCGCGGGTCAGCACTGGCCTACAATTCAAGGCAACGACGCAGCGATCGGCGTTTTTTTCGCACCTACCTTCATGTCGGGACATCCTACAGACAGTGACACAGCCCCTCCACGGGCTCCCTAACGTAAATGAGTCGGAAAGGTGCCGCTAAAAACGAAATAAAAGTGGGACGCGGTCTTTCTTTCCTATTTTCTCTCTTGAAGATGGATCCGGGGCTTACTTCTCTCCGCTTCCCCCTCCCCGTCTGTCATCGAGCGGTGTGTGTGAGACGGAGCAGGCGCGGACGCGGTCTGCCGGCAGGGGGCGCAGCACTCTCTACTTCTTCTTCTGTGGTGTTTGACGGGCGGTAAACCCGTGTAGCTCTTGAACGGGGTTTCTGTTAGTGTTGACATCGCCATCTACTGTAGCTAAAGGATTTTTTTTTTATTATTCAAAATGCAGAAATACAGTGGAGCCGAACGTATGTGGAATTCATAAACGTGTGAATTCAAGCGCACTAATAAAATATAAAACCAAGTGGTATTTATTTTAAGACAGCACAAGCACACCAATTTTCTAAAAAAAGAAGTTTGTTAGGTTTTAATAAAAAAAAGTCAAAAAGCATTTGCTGTGTGAATTTGAGAGGTTGTCATAAAAAAACAGCCGATTAAAAATGTAAGACAAGTAAAGTTAGTTCTGAGAAAAAGTCTAGAACGTTTGCTTACAGATGGTTTGATATTTTATTGCAATGAATCTCAGACAATTTCAGTCTCTTTGGGCTTAAACTTGCACTTAAATGTTTGGGGCCACTGTAGATTGAAACTACAATATAGAAAAATAGTCTTCACAATTAATAATTAGTCTTCACAAGTCTTCACAAAATTATTTATTAATAAAAAATAAAAAATATTTATTTTTTATGAATTTATAGTTTTACTCTGCCTTTTCAAGAAATGCTGGTTAAAAACACTGGGAGTATTATATCAACCAGCTACATATACATAGGCCTATAATTAATAATAATAGCCTATATATCATTACAGATTTGCTTTATTCAACATCAAGAAGATCAGGCCCTTTCTGTCAGAATATGCTTCACAACTCCTTGTTCAAGCTCTTGTTCTGTCCAGGCTGGACTATTGCAATGCTTTCTTGGCAGGTCTTCCAACCAGTTCTATCAAACCTCTACAACTAATCCAGAATGCGGCTGCAAGATTAATTTTTAATGAGCTGAGAAGAATGCATGTCACACCTCTGTTTATCAATTTGCACTGGCTACCAGTAGCTGCTCGCATTAAATTCAAGGCATTAATGTTTGCCTACAAAACCACCACTGGCTCTGCACCACTTTACCTAAATTCATTACTTCAGACTTATGTGCCCTCTAGAAGCTTGCGTTCTGCAAGTGAACGTCTCAAAGAAGCACAAAATCACTTTTATGGACTTTTAAATTAAATGTTCCCTCCTGGTGGAATGACCAGTCCGAGCATCTTCAAGAATTGGCTAAAAACACATCTCTTCCATCTTTATTTGACCCTCTAACTCTAGCACTCTATATTCTAATTCTATTCTTTATAAAAACTTGCCCCTTTTAGACTTGCACTCTATTTATTTACTGCTTGTTTTCTTTGGAAAAAAAAACTAACACTTGCTTCTCTAATCTTTTTGCATTCTATTTGTTTTCTTTTTATTTATTATACAATTATAATTCTGACTTCCTGACTTCTGATTAACAAAAGCACAAAAGGCCTCTAACACTAGCTTGCTCTATTCTTTGTCTATTCTGTCTGTTTTCTTTTTATTATATGATTTAAAAAAAAAAAAACATGCTATGTGTACTGCGTTAAGCTAACTGAGACTTGTTATAGCACTTGCTTATCATTGCTCTTTTGTTGATTTTGATTGCTTCCATTGTCCTCATTTGTAAGTCGCTTTGGATAAAAGTGTCTGCTAAATGTAAATGTAAATATCATTAATAAATAACACCAATTCAGAACTTGCGCAGTGACCCAGAAACAGTGATTTTTTTGCATTCTTTATTTCTGCAAGTAATATTCAGTGCTATCTTATTGGCATTTTGAGTCCTTAGATAAGAAACAAGCAGATAAACAAAGTTGACACACTAGTGTCATGTACAAAGTGACCGTCAAATGGCCTCCAATATCATACTGTTAATTATACAGTGAGTTTTATTTGTAAAATACAGTGCATTTAAAAAGACAATTGCAGCAGTTAAGATAACATTCCTACATGCAAAACATGAACCCCTGTATATCCACATTACATTCCTTACTTGTGATTATCAGATTATCAAACAGCATTCCCTCATACCATACAATAAAAGCATGCTTTAAAGAATATTGAATAGGTTAAAAAAACTCCTCCATGTTCTTCTATGTGTGTTTAAATCACAGACTCATAAGTAAAGCACTGAATTTTGAGATGAATTGTATTGCCAATAAGGCATTTGGATAAAAAACAAATAGTTTTGAATTATTTTAAAGGAAAATTCCTAAATTAGCAGGACTTTTTATATGAGATGATAAAAAGTCTACTTAAAATGAAGAACATTTTGGCACAAGGGAGTGTTTTTCATTGCAATTTGTGTGTGTGTGTGTGTGTGTGTGTGTGTGTGTGAGATAGGCCTAATATCATGTTCTCAACACAGATTTAATGAAAGTAAAGAAGAAATCTGCATATCCCTATTTAAACAAAGTACAATATGCTTATTGTCCAAGTTTAAGACAAATTGTTTAGTAGTATTTTAAAATGTTAATTTTGAATGAATTATAAAAAATGGTATATGATAAGGCATTCTCAGTTGAAGCTTATGTAAAGGTTTAGTTCAATGTCCACATCTTTCTCTACCAGTGACCAGTATTACGTAAAAAAACCTTAACGAATAAAATGATTTCAATAAAAAGCAGCACAAATGTAATTTATACAGCTAAAAAGCAAAATATGTCCATGAAAGTACTATGATAATTTGGCAATTATCTAAAAAAAGCATGATAATATAAATATTAACTGCCATAGATGTAATGATCATCTGAAGACACTTGATTCTTCTCATTACCATCCAATGATGTTCATTCACTGTACAAAATCCAAAGTTACGGACTTATCAAATGTTGGCATGGTATGGCAACTGGCTGAGTCACAATTTGGGACGTTTCTATAGACAAACAAGTCCGCATGCAGGAGAACCAAACAAAGCCCATCCGTTCTGTCCTTTATGAGGCCCACTTGAGAAAAGCAATGTTCCTTTCTTGAAGGGAAGAAGTTTGAGTTCCAGTGAGGCTCTGTGGAGATCTAAGAGCCTTCATTCTGAATCTGAGGCTGTTCAGTGTCTGGCTGATCCTCTGCTGTCTTCTCTTTGATAGAGGAGGGACTGCTGTCGGTTTTGTTGCCGTCTGGGTTGCCATGGCTTCCTGCGCTGCCCAATCGAGTTGAAGCTACCACCGCTTTGACCGCTGCCTGTGGAAACATAAACACAGGGGCATGCATTGTTTAGAATTTCATAACTTTTATATTCAAGCACATTTTGCTGTATTGATTATTATTTGTTAAAGGGGTCATATGATGAGATTTCAATTTTTCCTTTCTCTTTGGAGTGTTACAAGCTCTTGGTGCATAAAGAAGATCTGTAAAGTTGCAAAGACTAAAGTCTCAAATCCAAAGAGATATTCTTTATAAAAGTTTAGAGTCAGCCACACCTACCTAAAACGGCTCATTCTAACACACCCCCACATGTCTACGTCACTATTTGGGCGGCGTTATGCAACTCTTCCTACATCTTCAGGCAAAGAAAGAAGGCGCAACTTTTATTCTCGCTGTAGTATTGTTGCCGCCGCCGCCATGTCGTGAAGGCGCTGTGTGCTTCGTTGTGAAAGTGAAACTACTTTGTTTGGTCTTCCAAAAGAGGACGATATCGCTTCGTCATGCCTGGAGCTGATCCGTGCTGGTTGCTGAGGAAATATTTCGCGAGTCCAGCCCGGGGTCGTCACGTGTGGTTGCCGCAGGCATCACAATATGGTAAGGGACGTAAAATTTCCGTCACACGCTTGAGGAATTCGGCCAATCACAACGCACTGGATAGCTGGCCAATCAGAGCACACCTTGCTTTTTCAGACCGATGAGCTTTGTAAAAATCGACACGTTTCAGAAAGGCGGGGCATAGAGGAGAAACAATGTACAGTATGTGGAAAATAATGTTTTTTGAACCTTAAACCGCATAAACACATTTCATTACACCAAATACACAAAATAATGTTCTTTTTAGCAGCATCATATGACCCCTTTAAGGTTTGGTTTTAATTCATGTTAAACAAACAGTTCGCACAAAAATAGAAATTTGTTGAAAATGTACTCATCCTGATGTAGATGAGTTTGTTTCTTCATCAGAACAGATTTGGAAAAAATTAGCATTACATCACTTGCTCACCAATGGCTCCTCCACAGTGAATGGGTGCCGTCAGAATGAGAGTCCAAACAGCTGATAAAAACATCATGATAATCCACAAGTAATCCAAATGACTCCAGTACATCAATTAATGTCTTGAGAAGAAAAAGAGCTGCGTGTTTGTGAGAAATAAATCCATTATTAAAGGGGTCATATGATGCTGCTAAAAAGAATCGCATCATATGACCCCTTTAAGGTGCTTTAACTTTAAAACATTGTTTCTGGCAAACATACAACTCCAGTAAACTAGTCAATCCCCTGTTGTCCTTTCACATCCAAATCCACCAACATATTTGTTTAAAACTGTTCTGGGCTATTTTTGCTTGTAAACAGTGCTTGATCGGGATATATTTCTCTTTTGATTCAGACGGGATTACTTATTCACTGAAGAAAGCAATATTGTGGATAGAGGACTCCAAGCTAAGTTTGAAAAGTCTTAACTATGAATTTGTTAATTACAAACATGCAGCTTTTCATTTCACAGGACATTAATTGATGGACTAGAGTCATGTGGATTATGCATGACGCTTTTGTCTCATTCTGAGGGCACCCATTCACTGCAGAGTATCCACTGGTGAGCAAGTTATATAATGCTTAATTTTTCAAATCTGTTCCACTGAAGAAAGAAACTCATCTACATCTTGGATGGCCTGAGGGTGAGTAAACTTTCAGCTAATTTTCATTTTTGGGTGAACTATTCCTTTAAGGAGACACGTGTATATTCTAAGCCACTAGTAGCATCAAGCTTGAAAAAACCCCTCAATTTTTACATTTCTGAGGATGTGTGAGTGGTACTTGCTTGTGCACTATGTTTGAATTTTTTAAAGTCTTTTTAATATGTTTCTATGTGGCTACTAGGGTATTCTGGGTGGTTGCTTACTGGCCCCAGTCATATGTACATATTTCTATGATATTCTGGATATTCTCTTTGGTTTATGGTCTAAAGTCTTTGA